CATCCGGGGCTCCGAACAACTTTCGGGTTACCGCATACTAATATCTCTACAACCCTAGCGTCACCGAACCTTAAGTGTGTAGACCCTACGGGTTCGGGAATCATGTAGACATGACCGAGACAGCTCTCCGACCAATAACCAACAGCGGAATCTGGATACCCATGTTGGATCCCACATGTTCCGCGATGATCTCATCGGATGAACCACAATGTCAAGGATTCAATCAATCCCGTATACAATTCCCTTTGTCAATCGGTACGTTACTTGCCCGAGATTCGATCGTCGGTATCCCAATACCTCATTCAATCTCGTTACCGGCAAGTCACTTTACTCGTACCATAATGCATGATCCCATGACTAACCACTTGGTCACATTGAGCTCATTATGATGATGCATTACCGAGTGGGCCCATAGATACCTCTCCGTCATACGGAGTGACAAATCCCAGTTTCGATCCGTGTCAACCCAACAGATACTTCCGGGGATACCCGTAGTATACCTTTATAGTCACCCAGTTACGTTGTGACGTTTGGTACACCCAAAGCACTCCTACGGTATCCGGGAGTTACACGATCTCATGGTCTAAGGAAATGATACTTGACATTGGAAAAGCTCTAGCAAACGAACTACACGATCTTGTGCTATGCTTAGGATTGGCTCTTGTCCATCACATCATTCTCCTGATGATGTGATCCTGTTATCAACGACATCCAATGTCCATAGTCAGGAAACCATGACTATCTATTGATCAACGAGCTAGTTAACTAGAGGCTTACTAGGGACATGTTGTGGTCTATTTATTGACACATGTATTACAATTTCCGGATAACACAATTATAGCATGAATAAAAGACAATTATCATGAACAAGGAAATATAATAATAATCATTTTATTATTGCCTCTAGGGCATATTTCCAACAACTCCATAGATTGATCTTGGTGATGCGTAGAAAATTTTATTTTCTGCAACGATCCCCAACACTCGGGCCGAAGCCGCCGCTCCTTCCTCCACCCGCAACCAACACGAAGCTCTGCTCGCCGGGCACCATCCGCTGCCCACCGCCACCAGCTCCCCCACGTGAGCACCCAGGAGCTGACGGGGTGAAGAGGCCCACGAGGCTTTGGCGCGCACGCACTGCCCGGACACCCTTATATTCTTCCCACACATATGGGGCATGTTTGGCAGCCGTAGTGACTGGGCCTGACTAGCTCAAGCTTGGCTCACACGGGGCTGATTGAGCAAATGCAGCCTCTAAACCAACATCTGCAACCTGTTTGGGTGCCCTTATTTAGTTCCCACACATTAGGGGCTAGCTTAGCGCATGGTGTTTGATTGCCCGCTTGTGTACGCACAAACAGAATGCCTGCTGTTTGGTTACATGCAACGCCTGTTGTCTAATAACCTCTTCAGTGCGGTGGTGAGGTTACTAGCACACAACGGCGTCAGAAATAACACACACACACACACACAACAGAACATAGTAGTACGAAGAAATTACTAATATTGTGCCACACATAAACAGATAAGTTCAGACGCAGAGTAGTTCGATATTAAACTAAAGCAACTAGAGCATACAAGGGGTTGTCCTAGGCTTTCATAACGAAGGCGTCGTCGTGCCTCCTGCACCTGGTTACCACTTCAATGCCATCATCATTGAAGATGATGACCTTTAGCATGTCAGGAGTCAGCAACTTGAAGGTCACCATGAAGCCTATCTTGATCTGATGGATGGCGGTGAAGGTGGCCCAACCCTGATCGAGGATGACCCCGCGGTTCAACAGTCGGACAGTGACCCTCCAAAAGCAGCCGATGTTCGTCTTCACTTGAACTCCCGCAACACGGACGGGAAGTGCCTCGTGAAGTCCAACGACATAGGTATGTCCTCGAGCTGGGGGGCCATGATCACCTTACAGAAGGTGGTTGGCCCTCCCACCTCATGGTAGTGGCCGTAGTTCCAGCGCTTGCCGGTGGGGGGCACCTCCAGCACGTCATCGTCCGTGGTCGGGCTCTGGACGGGCGTCACCTCTGAGGGCGGCACATCTTCCTTGCCCTTGTCCTGCTCCTTTGATGGCACCACCTCCTTTCTCTTGTTCTCTGTGTCGATCTGCATTATGACGATGTTCAAAGGCTGGGTCAGCATCTGCATTATGAACATTGCAACATCGCCATTAAAACCTATGCTCGTGTGCCCCTTTATTAACCCACCTTGATAGTCACCACTTACCCACTCTCTCACTCTTCCTGAAACCTAATGCCATGAACTCCAACAATAAGTCCAACCCCAAACCCAACCCCAACCCCTTCCCTTGGGGCATTGGATGGAGGGCTTTTCTTCCTAGGGTGCTCACTGGGTGACCGCACCAAGTTTGAGAACACCATGGAAGTGTGCTCAAACTTCTGCAGCATGGAAGATTTGCACAAAGAGTCAAACGCTGTGTTGAAGAAGGCGACGCCGGAGGAGTTGAAGACACTGATTCCTGACCCAGTGGAGGGTGCTATGTCAGTCGACATACTTCGCTGGGCCATGAATCATGCTGAATCTGGCGACGTTGGACAGAGGGCAAAGTGGGCCAATTACAGACAGTAGCGCCGCCCTCATGACCATCGTGTTGGCGTGTACTTCACCACAAATACCATGCCTATTGAAGGGGAAGAAGAAGAAGCGGCGGCGATGATTGTGAGGGTGCCGGAGCTAGGAAACTAAAGCATGCCAATCAAGGTGGACTCCGGCGAGGAATAAGAGACGGTGGTGCAGGTCTAGGAGAAGACCAAGACCAAGGCCACCCGCCGCTCCAATCGCCTCTAGGGTCCCCGAGGCTAAGATCTGTGTGTACTATGTAAGATGAACCCTAATCCCCATTCCTATTGTACTTAATCTGGATTGGGAACCTCATATCTACCGGTAGTCATGACGATGTTATGATCACTTCTATGGTGCTTACCCAGATTCCCCGTTCCTCTAACGCGGATCGAATCTAAACTCGAATCGAATGCAAAGTAGTAAGCGAGGAGGGAAAAATAGCTTACTGCCATTGCCGAAGTGCTGCTACGGATGCCGGTGAAGGTGGCCAGAGGTTGACTTGCCGTTCTCTGGCCTGCTGCACGCCGCTGCCGCCGCCATCGGTGAGAGTGGGGAGATGGGGAAGGGGAGAGAGAGCGGTGAGGGAAGGTGAGGGTAATAACTGTCGGCGCTTCAGGAAGCAACATGACTTCTCGAGGGTGGCTCCTCGCGTGCAGCCCCCGCTGCCCACGTGCCTCACTCGGGCCTGACTCGCGAGAAACAGCCGATTCGAGCGTGCCTCACGAGATAGGCCTAGATATGTGCTTTAAACTTTGTGAGATGCAGGCCTAATAGTATATGTCGGCAACCAAAAAACCCAGTTTCTTCCCGCACAGGTCTGATTGGACCTTATGCGGGCGACCAAACGCGTCCATGGGGATGGATACGAGGTTCGCTGACAGTCTAGATATAAAAGATCAATTTGAGTGGTCTGATTGGATGTTTCTTTACTCTCTTGTCTGGGAAGTGATCGGGCCGTCATATCATCTTGAAATTTACGAAGTCATCATAGGCACCTCGTCGTTGATAGAAACGTCTCATCCCACTGAATGCACATCGCCGAAAATCCTGAAATAAATTCAGAAATAAATGTGAGCGCTAGGATTTGAACCCCGATGGGCAGAGATACCAAGATACCACAGTCCCTTCTAACCTAACCTATGGTTGGTTCGCGTCCAGCCGAACGTTTGAGAAGTATTTGCGGGTCGTAGATGCTCGTAGGATTTGGCAAATCTTTTGTAAGTTTTTTTTGCATGGTAATACGTGTCTCATTCATATTATAAAGAACAAAGTACAAGTCACGTAAGAACCGACATGACAAAACTGAAAAGATAGCAGAACATCTCTGAGCTTGACACTAACGCTCGTCACCTGCCTCCGGCACCACCACAGCAGCCACCGAAAAAAAGAATGACGGATCACCTCCTCACCCGAACTCGATGCGGCTCCATCGCTGATATTCAGCTTTGCGGACCTCCAAGGTGGCTCACCAAAAGTGAAGCCATTGCCGTTGAACGAATCAGACAGGGGCAACACCCCGGACACACCATCGAACTCCAGATCTGGCATCCCACCACGACTAAGACGCCGAAGGAGGAAACCGTACCTGCCATCCACGAACCACGAACCCAGCACACGTTCCGTCTTCTAGATGTCGTCGATGCAGACCACAATCTGCATCCGCTCCTGGACTACCTCCCAAGCTCCACGCCGACCCTGGAGCAAACGTCGTCGCAACGACGGAGCCCAAGGACACAGGTCCACCACGAGGATGCCGCCGCCGCCACGCCGTCCTTACTTGAACAGACTGATTTTCAGATCCATCCCCAACCATAGAACCGATGGCCTCGTCAGAAAAGGATCCGAAGAGTATTTATTCAGCGTCGTCATCGTCGCCGCCGAAGCAAAGACGATGAACAACCTAAAAACCTAGACTACGGATGAGTAAAAACGATCCACACGCATGAATCCGGCGGCCCCCCTCACCACCGACGACCGAAGTCGCCGGCGGAGGGGAGCCGCCGGAGAACGGCGTTGGAAGATCGGCCCCTGTCGGCGGCTAGGGTTGCAGCCTCCGGATACGAGAGGAAAACCGTACGCACAAGGAATCGTTTTAGAAGAAAATCTTTTGTAAGTAGCAGGCAGGCGTAGTGCCCTCCCTCAGCCGTACAATGAAGGAAGCACACTACATCGGACCGGCGAATTTACTGGCTACTGTATGTACAGCGCATTACAGGCACATCCGTAGACCGCGTGGCCCATGTGCGCCATCACTCCCCGCCCAGCCCATTTACGGGTACCACGCGCACGATGACATGCGGGCCCGTCGCGTCAGCGGAGTCTCTGTAACTGTGAGCGCATGCGCGTGCCATTAAAATTAAAATCGTCGGCCGGCTCGTGCTCTCTCCCCCATCGCCACTGACGCAGCGGAACAGCCATGGCGATGGCGGCCTGCTCCGTCCGCCTCCTCGCCGCCGCCGCGCACCGCCGGGGCGCGGCCGCGTTCCTCCACTCGCCGCGGCGGCCCGTCGCGTGCTCCCTCTCGTTCCCGCGGGGCCACGGCGGCATCCGCGGCCGCGCCGGCCTCTCCTCCATCTCCCTCCCCTCCTCCGCCTCCTCCGCGCAGGGCCACGCGCCCTTCAACCTCCTCCCGCCGGACTCCGAGCCCTTCATCCAGTGGGACGCCCTGCCTCCGCAGGACACCTCCGCGGGCGGCGCAGGGGCAGGCGGAAGGGAGGAGGGCCCCGCGCTGGTGGTGCTGCTGGGCTGGCTCGGCGCGCGGCAGAAGCACCTGCGGAGGTACGCGGACCTCTACCGCGACCGCGGGGTCGGGTCCGTGCGGTTCGTGGTCCCCGTCCGCGAGCTCCTGGGGCTCGACCTCGGCCGCCGCGTCGAGCGCAGGGTCGCCGACCTCTCCGCCGAGATCGCCGCCTGGTGCGACGCCGACCGCAGCCGCACGCTCCTCTTCCACACCTTCAGCAACACCGGCTGGCTCGCGTACGGGAACACCAAACCATCCTCCCTCTTTTTTAAGCTCTTCAATTCTCTGTAGGATGTGGAGTGTTCATATCTGAAATAAAAAACAAGTTGATAACGCAATTTAGTTAGGCACCCGTGCACATTGACATGGGGCCGCTTGCACTTGGTGCCGCATGTTTTAGTTGTGGCATTGTGGTTTCCTACACGAGGCTGGTGGCTTAAACGTGCTTGGTTGATCCAGTAGGCATGCCATTATCGAAGAGATCTTGAGTTAGAGTAGGAGCATGCTTTGCTCGTGCAATAATGTGGGATCCGTTGCTAGTTTGGAGGAACCAACAAGTTGTTGTGCCAGCAACCCAACATACTTTGGAGAAACTCTCCATTTCCTGTTTGGTTTGTATAGCATTATAAGCATAATTAAATCTCCTAAAAAATAACCACCGTTCATAATCTAGGAGAAATGGCAAGGTAAATAGTAATAACTAAATTCAGGTAAGATCGGATTTTGTGCTATGAAATACTCCCCACTAGCAATTTATCTCTAACACCTTTTATCTATGTACTTACAGAGAGATTAGTTTGTTCTGGTAGAAATCGGAGGCTTTAAATCTGGGTAAAACAAGTTGATAACACATTCTAGGTAGGCACCTTTGCATGGATTGCCCCTTAGATTCCACACTGACATGGGGTGCTTGTCCTTGGCGCCACATGTTTCTGCTGTGACAAGTTGGCTTGCTACATGAGCTTGGTGTATAAAACGTGCTTGATGAATCGAGTAGGTGTGTTATTCTCAAAGAGAACCCTGTTTAGAGGAGGCGTGATGTTTGTACGTGCGCCGGTACAAGGGCTGTTGCTAGTTGGGGGAAACCAGAGGGTGCCAGCATACTTTGGAGAAACTCTCCTTTTGCTGCTTGTGTTTTGTTTAATTGCTTAGGTTAATGCCTTTGTTCTTTCGTTGTACTTGTACTCACAGTAGGGCTGATCCTATCCTACTGTTATTATCCAAAAGAGAATACATAATATATCCTTCTGGATTCTTGGAGATCTTTGGATGAGTAGGTTGAATAAAACAGAGTGGGGATCTGATAACAGCATGGTTATAGACTATACTCAAGTTTCTATGGTTGATTTGGTAAATCTTGCCTGTTCTGTCAGTGGAGTTAAATTTGCTCACTGAGCTTCAATGTCCATTGTCCAATAGTTCTGTCTGATAACAGCATCATTGCATGTTGTTAAGGATACTTCTAAATATTAATCTTACTTAAAACCCAACTGGAATTAGAGCTTTGCTCTATCCGTCTCTTTCACCTGATGCCCATGGCTTTAAATTTACCGTGGATATAACACTTTTTTGTTTTTATTTTATTTTCAGGTATGGTGCGGTACTTGAGAATCTACAATCAAGAGCTGATATAATTGAGAGGATAAAGGGATGTATTGTAGACTCGGCACCAGTTCTAGAGATTAGACCAGAGGTTTGTATATCTTGCTTGAAATAAGCTTTCAACTGTAGTGATAAATGCTGAATCCCCTTCTTCCATTTTGGCCTGTGGGAAATTTGTGTCTGTGGAACATTTTGTTGTAAGTAAAAAAAATACTATTTCACCAGACAAACTTGTATACTTGGAGTTTCTCATGTGTACCCTAAACTCAGGTCTGGGCTGCTGGTTTCTCTGCTGCCATGCTGAAGAAAAGTAGTTCTTTAACAGGACCTTCAGCTGACTCCCCTGATGGATCTGCTTTGAATGGTGCCTTGAACAAAGTTACTTCTGTCTCAGAGTTAACGAAACCATCATGGGGTGAAACTTTTCTTCTTTCAACCCTTCAAAAGTTCTTTGAGATTGTCCTTCACCTACCTGATGTAAACCGGTAAGTCCATTCACCATCAATAATTATTGCTTCGGTTACATGGTATTGAAAGCTCACATTGCTGTTTGTAGTAAAGTCGGCCAAGGCATATGCAATGAAATGAAGTTACAATGGGTGTTCTTTTAGCAGTGAGATTATGTACTCTAACTAATCCATGCAGTCATATCTAAACATTATAAAGCAAAGTAATAGCTTATTCATTGTCAAGAAACTAAGGATATATGCTTTCCCATTACCAGTTTTTGTATGTGCATCCTGAAAATTAGGCTATCTGGATGGCAGGATACATATTTGCATTATTTTGTATTGTTCATTGTTGGGATGGCTTGTTGACCCTTCTAGTCTGGAATCTACATCCAGCCTAAAATCATCATTCGGTACACATAGCCATATCATGACTCAATTCCTATAAAAAAGGGCCTACATCATTTCAATTTTTTACTATTTGCTTCTTACATCCACCTGCCCTTGGAGAATTGGAGGATTGGATTAAGGAGAATATTATATGTGTAATTTGTAGTAAAAACTTTGTGTGTTCTGTCCAGTTACTTACCTTTTGAGATTGATATGTTGCCAGTTTCCTGTTTCTTCTTAAGCTGTTCTCTGGCCAAATATCCTAAGCTCCCAACGCATAAAAGCCTACTAGATGACTAATATCTTGTGTGCAACTTGCATCTGCGTGTTTGTTCAGTTGTTCTCCATTTTCGTCCTTACTGTATGGTTAAACTAGTGCATGGATATAGTTCATTTTCGTAGACGCATCTTTAATTCATCTCATACCCTTTTACCATGCATTTCAAAACGACCGGTTTTCATCTCCAAATATATTGACCACAGAAACACCAGCTGCGTCTTCATATTCTGATATTTTTCTGCCCCTTCTGATCATGTTCAGGAGAATGCACAAGGTCCTCTCGGTTCTTTCAGATAAGCAGCCGCCCTGCCCCCAGTTCTACCTGTACAGCTCCGCCGACAGAGTGATCCCTGCCGAATGCGTAGAGAGCTTCATTAACATGCAGAGATCACTGGGGCTGAGCGTCTCAGCACACAATTTTGTCTCGTCACCGCATGTGGACCACTACAGGAGCTTCCCTCACCTGTACTCTGCCAAGATCGACGAGTTCCTGAAGGTCTGTTCCCTAGTTAGTGTATGATGATGAATCGACTATTAATCTTGCTGAAGATCTGTTCCCCACTTAGAGATGAGTTGATGGTTAGTCTTTTGACCAACACGGCGGTTGAAGATTCTAGTGAAAATTTGATCGGTTTTGTATTTTTTAGCGTATGTAGTGCGTGTATGATGTAGGATGCTTCTACATGGGTGTTTGAAGAGGGGTAATATCACCACATCATCAAGCATCCATGTGAGCTCTATCTACTCAAACTCAAGCAACTCTTTGTAGGTATGTGATGATCGAACTGTCTATTCCTTTTGGGGGAATTGTATTGTCCATTCTTGGGATAATCTTATATGTTAAGCACAGGTGCCTAGTTAAGCATCTTATCTACTCCGAGAGGCAAGAAAAAGCTCTTTTCTTTTGCCAATGATTATGTAATAGCGAGACGATGATAGTCTTTTCTTGATGAAGTCGCATATAATTTTTGCTGAGTTGAAAGACATAGATAATTGCATTGTCACATAAGGCAGAGATCAGGCCGAGGGCGCCGGGCACACGTACAGCGGCGGCACGGCGCCGCCGTTGGCGCAGCTGGCAACCTTGGGCGGCGTGAGGCCGCAGACGTCGCGGACGAGGGCGAGCGCGCGGTTGACGGGGATGCCGACGCCGATGGCCCGCTCCAGGGTGTGGTTGAAGATGTGGCACAGGCACGCCGGCTGGTCTCGGACGATGCTGCCCAGGCCCTTGCAGCACCCCGCCGGCGCCTTGGACGTGCCGGCGTCCCTGAAGAAGGCCAGGCACGGGCTCAGCTCCAGCAGCGACCCCATGCACGTCGCCGACACGTCCACCTCCGCCGACGGCCTCGGGATGGTGGGCTCCGACGCGACGATGTCCTTCGCCGCCGGCCTCGGGAAGATGGGTCCCGACGGCCTGGGCTCCGACGCGATGCTCTTCTTCGTCGCGTCGGCCGCCGTGGCGACGGCGAGGGCCAGCAGCAGGAGGAGGACGGAGGCGGCGCAGGGCTTGCTGGACGACGCCATTGCACTTGACTTCGCCGGAAGGGTTTAAGCTAAGCACGTACGTGTATGATTAGTGAGATTGGCTTGCGAGTCTTGGATGGGCTCAGAGATGCTCACTGATCCATCTATTTATAGTCAAGGTCTCAAGGAGAAGGTCAGGGCGCAACATCTGTGAGTTTGTTCCATGGTTAGTTCCATGCACGGGTCTTGCGAGCAACACGGAGATGGCATGAATTGCAGAGACGAGACACGACGCATTTCTAAGGGCATGTACAATGGTTGATAAAATAGTTTTATCTTAAGTCTTGCATGTAATTAAGAGATGACAAAAAAAGATGTCTACAATGGGTCATTTTTTAGCCTTATCTTCATAACTAGTTATTTCTAAAAACGTGGTGACACATATTGTGCTAAGATATCATCTCTTGTCTTATCTTAAATAAGAGAAGACAAGCCTTTTCTTATGAGTTCTCTCTCCTCCACCTCATCATTTATCCTACATGGCACTTTTAAGATAGCATCATTGTACATGCCCTAACTCTCTCCGTCTTACCTACAACATAGTCTAAAAGATTTATTCGAGCTCTAATGCTGTGCAGCGTACCGGCAAAATAAACTTCTAGAGAGAAAAATGCACGCGGTGTGCATGCATGCTGTTTCAAGGGATTGTTTTGGGGGTGCAAGGGACAAGTGATGATCGATGGTGGTGGTGTTGCACATGGAAACACCAGTTCACCAGGTTCAGGTTGTTGGTATCGAACTGTCAACGAGAAACAAGGTTTCAGGCAAAGACATAGGCACAGACCTGAGGGCTAGGTGGTTCTTCAATTGTTAAAAATTCAATTGTTAAAAGAAAAGGCTATGTCACTTTAATCTGCACGCCAACTATGTTGGCTTTGAAGAGACTAAAACGGAGAAGTTATTCGACTCGTTTTTGAGATCTCTAAAGTGGAGGTTTCCCTATGTGCGTCATGAACCCGTCCTCCGCGCCGGGTCCAGATGGCCTGCCGGTGAATTTCTTCCAGGTCTTCTGGCCCACCATCAAGTGAGAAGTGATGGCCCTCTTTGAGGAATTTTACGTCGGCACCATCGACTTCCGCCACCTCAATTTTGGGATCATCTCCTTGATTCCCAAGGTTTCCGGCGCCTCGGACATCCGTTAGTCCCGGCCAATCACGATGATCAATGTGATCTTTCGCATCTTGGCAAAGGGGTACGCCATTAGGGTGGCCCCTTTGGCCAATCGCATTACACATCCTGACCAGTCGGCCTTCATCCAAGTGCGATATATCTTGGATGGGGTCCTAGTCTTCCACGAGGTCCTTCATGAGGTCCATGCCAAACACCTGAATGCCGTCTTCCTAAAGCTCGGCTTCCACCAGGCGTACGATACGCTCAGTTGGCCCTTCCTTTGGGTTATGCAGATGGTTTCATCAAGGCAGACTGCGGTTAACATTAACGGTGAGATCGGTCCCTACTTCCACACCCTTTGTGGGGTACGCCAGGGAGATCCTTTCTCCCCGTTCCTCTTCAACATGGTGGTTGATGTCTTGGGTACGATCCTCGACAAGGCCAAGGCTGCTGGGCACATTCGAGGCGTCGTGCCTCACTTGGTGGTGGTGGTGGTGGGGGGGGGGCATGGAGTGTCCCTTTTCCAGTATGCTGATGACACAATCATTATGGTTGAGGGGTCTATGATCGACATCATGAATGTCAAATTCCTCCTCCCGTGCTTTCAGGAGATGTCGTGCCTGAAGATTAACTTCGATAAGAGCGAAGTGATGGTGATGGGCTATTCTCCTGCTGAGAGGCAGAGTATAGCTAACCGGCTCAACTGTCAACTCGGTTCCTTCCCCAAGTCTTACTTGGGGATCCCCATTAGCGATGCGCGGCTGTCCGTTGCAGACCTGAGGCCTTTGGTGGTCAAGCTCCATCGCAGGATCGAGCCTTGGCAGGGTTGGTGGCTGTCTAAGGCGGCGCGGATGACCGGGTCTTCGTGGAGGCGGCCCTTATTGACTTAGGGCATCTCGCACTCTGTCGTCCTTTTGGACCTCCGAAACTTTCGGCTTGGCAAGAGCTCCTGGACACCGTCGCTCTCCATGAACTGGACCTTGAGTCGCCTCAGGATTGCTTATCCTGGCACCTAGAGCCTCCAGGCAGATTCTCCATGAAGTCACTATACCAGGCCATCGCGGCCACCCCCGGACTAGCGCCTCTCAAGCATATTTGGTCAATCAGGCTCCCCCTGAAGATCAGAATCTTCTTATGGCAATGGATCCGTGGGCGTCTCCCCTACGGTGTGGAGGTGTTAAAGCGTAATGGTTCGGGTGATGGGACTTTCCCTTTGTGTGGGGTAGAAGAAGACTCGAATCATATTTTCTTCTCGTGTGTCTCCACCCAGTTTCTCTGGAGCTGCCCGCGGGAGGTGCTTGGGGGCCAGTGGTGCAACACCAAATTCCCCAAACTTTTTGTCGAGGTCCAGGCCCTACCCCCTATGGGCCGCCACATTAGGTGGCTGGCCATTGGGGTGCTTGCGTGGATGCTATGGACGGTTTGGAATAAGCTTGTGATCCAACGTGTTCCTCTTCGACGTGCTACTGACACGGTGTTCAAAATGTGTGGCTTCTTGCAGCTTTGGCGGCCGCTTAGCCGCCTCCGGGACCGGGATGCCATCCCCATCATCATTACCGACGTTCGTTCGATGGCTCTACGCTTGGCACCTCTGTTACCTCCGCCACCACCTGAGCTCGACTAGTCCCCGCCCTTGGGGCCACGGTGATTCTGCCTTTAGCTTGTTGTTGTTCTTCTACTTTTTTTAGGGCTTGTTAAGCTGTGCCTCAGCTGCACCTTATGTACTATTTGTGAGACTTGGGTGTGTGTGTGGACCTTTGTGGTACTCTATGGCTGTGGTGGTTTACTTTATTTATAAAGCGAGGCGGAAGCCTTTTTTGGCAAGTGTCAATTATACCATTTTAACTGTAAAGAACTTCATTAAGAGCTATTTTTTTCGCCGCAGATAGTGATTGTTTTACCGAAATTACACTAGTTTGATGGTATAGACAGTGTATTTAAGGGATTTCACATAACATATGATAACACATTTCAACACATCATAACATATAGTACTAATTACATATCGGTTTTTCTATATTTCAGGTTCCTTGAATTTTTTGTTACGTTAGTCGATTTGTGGGCCGTCCAATTCTATCCTAAGATTTGTGTTGGATGTGTTGCTCCTTTGCGTTTATTCTCTTTCTTTTTGTTGATATGTCTTATCTTATCGTGTCCGGTTCAATGAAACCCACTTATCCTTCGCCAGCTCAACCCGCATTTTCTTATCCACACATCTCCCCTCCTCTGCTCTCTAGTCTCTTCAGTTTCTCTGCTCTTCAGTCGCTCTGCTCTCTTGCCGGTCTCCTCTCCATAGCATCTGCTTGCTAGGGTTCATCTTTTCTCCTGCATTTTGTTCATTTATTGCCCCTTTTTGTCATTTCTCCTTCACCCCTCCCATATTTTTTTGTATGTTCTATTCTATGCTCTCTGAAAGGACATGTGGTGCCCCCATGTTTGGTTTTGGAAAATTATGACATTCTCTGGACTAATGGTTGCCTTGATCTATATTTGAAGGATTTTTCCATAGGCACTTCTTGAAGTCCATGTGTTGGTTTCAAGGAGTTTATGAGTTGACCAAAGTGCTTTGAAAGGAATTATCCAAAGATTGGTCATGTGAGAGTTGAGCTTATTGTAAGAATGTCTTGAAGAAGAGATTGTGTGAACATTCATGTTTACCTTCAAGACATCATCATACTAATGAAGAAAGTTGGAAAGATTCAAGGTCGATCAAGACTAAGTATAAAGAGTGATTCAAGTTGATCAACACACAAAGCGTAGAAGATGTACCGAGTGGGATCATTGTTCCTCATGGTATGGTAAGCATTGTCCATTACGCTTTATGTACTGACCCATGGACTACGTGAGAGTTCTATGTGGGTTAGGTATGTGTCCATGGACTTGAAT